CCCGCGGCCCGCGGAGGCGACGCGCCCGCGGCGGAGGAAAAAGTGGAGGCCGGAGAGGGGTACAGAGGCCGCGGAAGCCCGCTCGGGCCTGAAGAGCCTGGGGCCGCGGCTGGGGCTGGGACCTGGAAGTGAACGGTCCGGAAGTGACGCATCGCTCGCCCTCGGGTGGTGGCAGGCTGGGTTGTCATGGAAACCAGTCTGGAGCCGGGAGCTCGGAACTGGGAGTGTTGACCGGGCTAACCCGGCCGCACCTCCCGCACTGGCCCGTTTTCTGGATGACCCGCGAGCTGCACTCCCGACGGTGCCTAAGCGAGCAGGAACTGACGGCCGGGTCCCTCGACCCCATTTTCCAGAAGAAAAGACCGAGGCTCAGAGAGAGCGAGTGAGATGCCAAGATCACGCGAGATTGGGAGTGGCTGTTCCCGGCTGTGGGCTGTGGTTAAGGTCGCCGGTGCCAGGTTTGCCTTTGCCATTTGCTAGCTGTGTGGCCTTGGTCGAGTTACTTAACCTCTCTGAGCCTCAGCTGTCTCACCTGTATAATGGACTAATAAAGCCGGGTGCGGCGACTCTCACCTGCAGTCCCAGCGCTTTGGGAGGCCAACGCAGGAGGATCGCTTGAGGCCAGGAGTTGGAGACCACCCTGGGCAACATAGCGAGACCCCGTCTCAAAACAAACAAAAAACCCAGAAGCGACCTGTCCCTGCCCTCCGCTTACCCAAATGGAGGCCGGAGTGGGAAAGAGCAGGTCTCCTGGCGTGGCGACTTGGCACCACGCACCGCAGGACTTGCTGTCCACACTGGCGCAGGCCTGCGGGCTCGTCGGGTCCCCGTCGCAGGTTTCCCCCGCCTCCGCCACCACGCCGGCCCGCGCCCCCGAGGACCCGGCTTTGCGGGCTCGGCCTGAGTCCGCGGTGGCGGGAGCGCGCGCCCCGTCGCTCGCCGGCCCCGACGGCTGCGGGAGGCCGGCCCGTCCCGGCCACTTCTCGCCCCGCGTGCCCCTCCGCCCTCCAGCCTCTCCTCGCTGCCCCCTCGGGGGCGTCCCCCGCCTCCCGCTCGCGGCTTCCCGGCCTCGGTGCCCTGCCGGGTCCTCCCTCCCGCCCGAAGGCCCCTCGGCTTCTTTTCAGGCGGAGGCCCTGCTTGCTCGGCTCCCACGACTCGGCCTTCCGTCTCGCCTCGGCTGTCAGCGCGGTGTCGCGCCCTGACCCCCACGGACCCCAGCCCCTCCCGTCTGGCCCCCGAGCCCGGCGCGGGCGTGACGCGGGGATGCCCAGCCCAGAGCCCGTGCCCCGTGCCTGCAGGACGCGCCCCCTGAGCCTGGGGGCCCCGGCCGGGCTTGTCGGAAGAGTCGATGGCGCGAAACCGGGGGACCGTTTGGAGAAGCAGCAGCCTGTCTCTGTGCCTACCTGCCTTCTGGGTGTTTTTGCTTTTCGAGACAGGGTCTCCTCTGTCAGGCAGGCTGGAACGCAGTCGCAGTGGCGCGATCACAGCTTGCTGTTACCTCGACCTCCTGGGCTCAAGCGATCCTCCCACTTCAGCCTCCTGAGCAGCTGGGACTGCCGGTACCTGCCCGGTTAGTTTTTTAAGTTTTTTGCGGACACAGGGTTGCCCGGGCCGGTCTTGAACTCCTGGCCTCAGCCTCCCAGCGTGCTGGGATTACAGGCCTTTTTCTGTTCTCTACCAGCTGGCATTTAAGCTTCCCTCTCAATCACCTGCAAAGCAATGATGTTCACAGAAATTCCATCCGAGAAAACTGTCCCACCTGAGATAAGTCTGTCTCTAGGGCACCTCAAAACTCGGGCTTGGTAACTGTGACAGGGTTGCATTTTCACACGAGTCTGCTGAAAAAGCCCCTTCCAGTTCTGCGGTTTGTGGTTCTGTGACAGAGAACCAGATTTTTACGAAGGAAACCCTGGCTACTGAGACACAGCGACACTTCCTATCAGAAAATACCCAAAGTCTCCACAGAGAGCCACATTTCTCATCCAAGCACAGTCAGAGGCTGTGAGTTCTCTGCTTGAGGATGTGGGGATCACGGAAGCATCCTTTCCAGATTCCCTTACATAACGATTAGCAGCTTATGTAACGGCCACGAGACAGTGATTAGGCACCGCTCCCTCCTAAGAGCCAACAACACGAACAATCTACCTACCTCTTTCTATTTTTTAGTTTTTAAACTCACCAAAGTAACGTGTAATTCCAACAATACAGAGGTGTATAGAACCAAAAGCAAAAGAGAAAAGCCACCCCATGACCCAGCAACTGGATTTCTCAAAGTCTACCAGAGAAACACGCACACGTGCGCAGAGCCCTGCTGCATCACGGTGTGGGTACCAAAACAAAAGCCGGAGCATTCTAAATGTCCATCCGTAGCCGGGCTCGGTGGCTCAGCCTGTAATCCCGCGCTTTGGGAGGCTGAGGTGAGTGGATTGCCTGAGTCCGTGGGTTCAAGACCCGCCTGGGCAGCAGACCTCATCTCTACATAAATCAAAAAATGAGCCCGG